TCTGATATAGAACCAACCCAATCAGCATCTGTATACCCTACTATTTCAAGAGTCCCTCCACTTCGGTATAGCAAACCACGACCTACAGCACCCTTCAGGTACCTAACAATTCTTAGAACTGCTTCCCACTGAGGAATCTAAGGATGTTGCATAAACTGACTCACCATACTCACGGCAAATGATATATCTAGTCGGGTAATAGTCAAATAATTYAACTTTCCCACCAACCTCCTGTATCTTCCAGGATCATCAAACTCTTCACCTGCATCAACACTCAACTTGACATTAAGTTCCATAGGAGTCTCTGYTGGTTTAGCACCTAACAGTCCTRTTTCTTCAAGTAGGTCAAGAACATATTTTCTTTGACATAAGTTAATTCCATGCCTTGACCTTGCAACTTCTATTCCCAGGAAGTACTTCAGCTTACCCAAATCTTTCGTATTGAAGTGGTCCTGTCTTCAACCTATCAATCCCATTATTGTCACTCCCAGTTATGACAATATCATCCACATACACCACTAGAAAGATTTTTCCATCTTTTGAGTCATGGCTGAACACAGAATGGTCTACCTGACACTGTTTCATCCCAAAGTCTTTCACTACTTCACTGAACCTSCCAAACCATGCGCGTGGAGATTGTTTCAGTCCATAAATTGCCTTTTTGAGTCTACAAACCTGACCATCCTCCCCCTGAGCAACAAACCCTGGCGATTGCTCCATATACACTTCCTTAATGAGATCACCATGTAGGAAAGCATTTTTGATGTCCAATTGCACAAGAGGCCAATCATACATAGCAGCTAATGAAATCAACACCCGAACTGAACCAATTTTAGCCACAAGAGAAAATGTCTCCATATAGTCCACACCATATAGCTGAGAATAGCCCTTGGCAACTAACTTGGCCTTCAATCGCTCCACACTGCCATCTGGAAGATACTTCAATGTGTAGACCCACTTACACCCAACAGCATGCTTACCAGGAAGAAGAACAGTAAGTTCAGTTCCCACGTGTGATTGTGTTGTAGAGCAGAGAGTTCCTCTTCCATGGCTTGCTGCCACCCTGGGGAGGTAAGGGCTTCCTGGACAGTCTTGGGAATGGAAACAGATGATAGCAATGATATAAAGTTGCGATGAGAAGCAGAAAGGTGAGCAGTTGAAACATAGTGTGAAATAGGATGAGAAGTACAAGTGCGTTTACCTTTCCGCAGGACAATAGAAAGATCAAGGTCTAAGGGAGAAGAAGCAATGACAGGATCTGTCGACGAGGGCTGAATTGGAGGAGAGGCCGGTGCTCTTCTGTGAGTATACACGTGTTTGATTGGTGGCCTCTCAGTAGTAACTGGCATGGGAGGTGAATCTGCAACTGGAATGGGAACCACGGGAAGGGGATCCGCAACAGGGACAGGAAGAGGAACTACGGAGGAAGGAGAAGAAACCACAGTATCCAAGAAAAAAGGAACTGATTCAAAGAAGATGACATCGGAACACACAAATGACTTATGGAAATTAGGGTTATGGCACTTATACCCTTTTTGAGTCCTTAAGTAGCCAAGGAAAATACACTTAGTAGCTCGTGCATCTAACTTGTCTAAACCAGGCCCCAAGTTTTGAACAAAACAAACACATCCAAAGACTCTTGGGGTGAGAGGAAACGGAGACAATGTGGGAAACAACACCGAGAAGGGGGATTGACTTCCAATGATGGACATGGGCATCCGATTGATGAGAAAACAAGATGTGAGGACAGCATCACTCCAAAAATGCTTTGGGATATTCATATTAAGCATCAAAGACCGAGC